TGCCCTCCAGTTCAGATAGTCTGTCCTTAGTTTCTTTCAAGCTGTTATGCCAGTTTTTGATAGAGTTTTTAGTTTCCTGGTAGTGTCTTTGAACCTGCTTCGCGTATTCTATGCTTTCTCTATTTTCTCCATCAACCAATTCTCCCCTCTTTTTCTGTTCTTCCATTCTACCATCCATTTTTTCTTGGGTGGTGCTTAGCATTTCTCTAACTATTCTGCTTACTTCTAGCTTCAGGTCATTAATAACTTCATTCCTGAACTGATCTATGAGGCTCTCTAGATGGCGCTTTATGTCTATTGGTGCAGTGTCCGCTATTACCTGTTTCTCAGGATTAGGGGCCGAGGAGCCTTTCTTGTTGCTGCCTCTTCCCATATACTTTGTTCCTTATATATGCAAGCTTATATAGGAGGCCCAGCTTCCCTCCCTGTCAGCCACAGCCTGATTGAATTGTGCCGGCTAGGTGTTCCTGCCCACCGCAGCACACCAGGAAGTTCCAGACCAGGCAGCCTACTCGGGGCCCGCCCCTCCAGGCCACCCTCAGGCTCTGGGATCTGGGTTGGGCTAGCCTACTGGGTCCGCCAGCAGCGTCATGTAGGCTAGGCACTTTTCACCAATCCCGCCTGAGAGGGGGATATGTGGCTGAAGTCGCCACAGCACCCTACTCCCGCAAGTCTGCCCAGTCCCAGAATGTCCTCTGCTGGAGTCAAACTGTGGTAGAGTGTCAGTTTCTCTCACTCACCTCACCACAAGTCAGTGCAAGGCTCCCTGCCCCTCCTGTTTTCGACTCCGTTTGCAGATTCCTGTTCTCAGAGCTTCCGCGCGTCTCTCTCCCTGTGGAGCTGATGTAGACACAGCCACCGCGTAGCGGGAAACCCAAATCGTGGCTTCCAATGGCGCGGGTTCCAGCCTCCAGCCTCCACACTGAGGCTTTTCTGTTCCTGTTCTAGCACCAGGACTGCATTCCAAGTTGGTTTCTCTCAGCCCAGTTCGTTCCTGGGTCAGCAGAGCATATCTCCACCAGCTTATGCCTCCTTACTCCGCACCATTCCTGACTTCTGAGCCGAGTCTTTCAGAGAGCCTCCGTAGCTGCTGTTATCTGTCTGCCATGTTCTCCCAGAAGTCCGGTTCCTTGTTATTTTTAAGAGATCTTTTCTTTCATGATCAAACATTGCAAATCTATCTTCAAGTTTTGAAAGTCTAACTTTAGTTTCTGCCAAGGCATTTTTCCAGCTTTCTTTTTTTGTAATTTTTTTTTTATTTAAGGAGAAAAAGAAAAAAAAACAGAAAAAGAGTACAAGAAATACAAAATTTAAAAAATAAACAGTAAGAAATCACTAGTTAATAGATTACATATTCTCATCTTAGAAATAGTTGTTCAAGTCACAAAATTGAAGCATATAAAGTGGACTTTCAAACAGTGGGAGTGCAAACAGTTTTGTTCAATGATTAAAAAAACACTCAGTAATATGGTTATCTATCTTATACACTTAAACATATATGCAGTTATAACCTTTACAGCACTTTCTTTTCTTTTCTTTTGTACAATGAAAATTTCATATTTTGTGTTTTATTACTCCCACAGTTCTTATTACTTTTTTTGAAAAGAGTAAAACCAAATGCGACATATCAGAACAGAATCAGTCAAATCAAAAGGATGGACATAATAGATAATGTAAAAACAAAATATAAGGTGATCAACAGTGGTTACCATACTGCCTCTTGCCATTTTAAGAAGAATTGCCACTTATAATAAAATTGAACTAAACAGTAAAGAATAAAACCAAAGCATTGGAGACATTACAGGACTTTAAAAGAAAGTAATAGTCTACCGGAATGAGCATCATAATAAATCTTAACTTGGTACTATCAAGCAAAGCAGAATAGAGGAAAATCAGTCAAAACAAGATGGTGAGGGCAATACAGAATTTCAAATCAAGTTAATAGGAAATCAAAGTACGTTACTATAATGTATCCTGCTATTTTTATTTATTTTTCCCTTAATTAAAAAGATAAACAGAAAAAAGTAAATAATTTTTAAAAAGGGGATTGAGATAAAAGAGGGTATAACAACAGAACAGCGCAGGTCAAAACATAACCATTTAAGCAAAATAGTGTTTCATCACAAGATATCCTGACATAAAAATAGTTACCATAGTGTCTCTTTTCTTGAAATCCTTTGAGTATAACTTCGTATACTATAGCAGCAAACATATCAAGTCACTATAAAACCATTCAAGAGAATGACATTATTACAGGGTATTTAGAATTGACTAACAGAAAATGAACAATGGTTTCTGTATAATCTCCTTGTCTAGAAAAGTTTTTGCTTATATTATCACATATACTAAAATCCAATAAGATACAACCTTTTAAGACCGATGGAGACAGAAGAATGCAAGTTTGATGGAACTTCAAAACAAGATGATACTAAATCAGCACTAGCTATTATGATGTCTTGTTTTCTCCAAAATAGCTGTTCCTACCATCCAATCTTCTCTGTCTCATTCTTTTTCTTTTCTTTTTTTTTTTTTTTTTTTTTTTTTCGTTTTTATCAGTACCAGGGATTGAACTCATGACTGCCTGCTTTCAATGCAGGTGCTTATGCCGCTGAGCTATATCCCCAGCCCCTCTGCCTCAGTTCTGTCGAGCTCTTTTTCTGTCACTGGTTGTCAGTTTGTCTTCTTCATTTCGTTTTCTGCTCCATTCATTGTGGCCTCTCTGACACTATTTCTGGAATCTTTGTATTTTCCTTTCTTAGACTATCCTGCAGTATTCTCTGTAGAGTTGAATTGGTGGTTGCAAATTCCCCTAGTTTCTCTTTATCTTGGAAGCACCTTCTTTTTCCATCAATTCCTAGGGACAGTTGTGCAGGATATATCAATCTTGGCTGGAGGTTATTATCTTTCAAAGCTTGAATTATTTCCCCCACGCTCACAGACAGACCTGGGAATCAATCTAATGAAGGATGTAAAAGACCTCTACATTGAAAACTACAGCATTAGAAGGAAGCCTCCACTGCAAACCAGTGCCAAGTGTGGGCCACCACCAGGGTATGGACAGCCAGGCTCAAGCCTTTCCCTGTGAGTCAGTGCTATTCGTGGACTGCAGGGCTAGAAAACAAGGTCTCACCAAGAAGCAAGCACTGCCTAGAAACCAGCACCATGTGTGGGCCACCAGCAGTGGGGAACAGCCAGACTCAGTCCCTTCTGATGTGTGGGCTGGCAAACAAGAAGAGCCAATCCCCTCCATCTAGTAAGCAACCAGCTGAGCTGGAGACACATAGGCTGTGACAATAGCTATTGAGGTAAAATGCAATTTGATGATTGTGGTGTTTTGGTATTTCACTCACCTTGCAGGTCTAGGGCCAGAAGTCTGGTCATCTGTTCAGGGGATGGCAGTGCATAGTGTGGTACCTGGGGGTGAAATCTCCTTCTGGGGGTGGTGGCCATTGTTGATTCCCTACTGTCTTGTTTTGGAGACCATTTTCACTGTTTTTGTTGGGTTGGGTTTTGTTCTCTCTTGTTTTGTTTGATTTTGTTATATCTGATGCCTTGAGCAGCTATTTCAAAGATAGCAAATTATTGTAGCCACTTTGGACTCACTATTGTCTTGTTTTGCATTCATTGTTTTGTTTTTATTGGTTGTATTCTGTTCTGTCGTGTTTGATTTCTACTATGTTGGAAGATGTCTGCAACTATTTTGAAGGCAACAAGAGGCATTACAATAACTACTGTTGATTTCATATTGTTTTGAAGTCTTGTATCATTTGTTCTGGTTTGTTTTGATTGGTTTTATTCTGTTTTATTTTCCTTGGTTTTATCCTCTTTAAAATAAAATAATAATAAAAAAATTCAGTACTCTAAAAAAGGAGATCAAAAAGGATATTATAAAATGAAGAGCTATCCCATGCTCCTGGGTAGGAAGAACAATATAGTGAAAATGGCCATACTTCCAAAATTGTTATACAAATTCAAAGAAACCCCAATCAAAATTCCAATAGCATATCTCACAGAAATAAAGAAAACAATTCTAAAATTCATCTGGAACCAGAAAAGACCTAGAATAACAAAAGTAATCCTGGACAACAAAGGCAAGATAGTTGGCATCATAATCTCTGACTTGAAATTATACTATAAAGCTACTGTGATTTAAAAAAAAAAGCATAGTACTGGGGGAAAAAAGTAGGCCCAAGTTTAGGGAGCCACTGAAGCTGGAAGTCAATTACATGTTGGGACCAGTTGGAAAACAAAGAGCATCTGAGATAAATCAGATAGACAAGCTGCCCAGAAAAACACCAAGTTCCCAGACAATTCAAGCAATGGGTTGCTAGGCAAAGGGGTACCACTTGACATTGTGTTGCTAAACGTATAAATAAATGCCCCTGCAGTAATGGGAAAGTTCCTTTTCTCCCATTAGAAGAGAGGGCTCCACCTGACCTAAAACTTTTGTCTCATCTTTATTTTATCATCCTCTAGCTGTCCTTCACCCAAGAACCTCAAGAGCTGCAAGTGTCATGGCACTGAAGATCAGTGGAACAGATTGGAAGATGCAGAAACAACTCCAGACACACTAAGCCACTTTATCTTTGATAAGAGTACCAAACACCTTCACTGGAAGAAAGCCTCTTTAATAAATGGTGCTGGAAAAACTGGATCTGTCCAGACCAAATATTAAAAGTGGACCCATATCTTTCACCACGCATTCAATTAACTTTGGAATAGATCAAAGATATAAATACTAAAATAGAAATATTAAATCTTCTGCAAGATAGAATAGATAAAACTCTTGAAAACATTGGTGTAAGCAATAACTTTATGAACAAAGCCCTGACTGCGCAGAAACTATCACAAAGAATCAACAACTGGAATCTTATTTTATTAAAAAGCTTTTGCACAGCTAAAGAATCCACCAACAGAGTAAAGAGATGACCCACAATGTGGGAGAAAATGTTTACCAGATAATCCCCAGGCAAAGGATTACCATCAAGAACATATAAAGAGTGCTCCCTTCGGCAGCACATATACTAAAATTGGAACAATACAGAGAAGATTAGCATGGCTCCTGTGCAAGCATGACACACAAATTCGTGAAGCATTCCATATTTTTCCATTTGACTATTACCTGCTTTTGAAGTTTTACACTGTCTACAATGTTTTGTTTTTATTAATATTGTTATGTACTGCTATATTCAATTATATCATGCCTGATGATATACACAATTCTATTGAAGATAACAAGAGAAAACACAGTAACCACTGTAGAACACCTTGCGCTGTGGTTTTATGACTTTTTTATTTCATGTTTTTATAGGAATATGATTTGTTTCATCTTACTTTGTTTTGTTTTTCCCTCTAATACAGAAAGGATGGAAATACATGTAGAGACTCATGCATGCGTAGAACCTATAAACAGTTTATGAGAATTGATCATACATGCATAATGAAATTAACAACTTTGAAGAAAAAAAGAACTATAATACCCAGTGCTGATTCTGTAGCGTCATGATGTGAAATTCAGCAATACTATTATTCTTTGTTCACAGTGATTTTAGCCTGTTTTGTTTTGTTTAATCTTAACATACATGAAGGTATGGACAGCTATTTTGAAGAGAATGAGAGACACTATGACAGCCGTTGTTGACTTCCCTGTTATCTGATCTTAAAGACCTAAAATGCCTTCCTTATCTTGTTCAGATCAGTTCTATACTATGTCGTTTCATGTGAATTCTCTGTATGTGAAGATATGGTCAACTATTTGGAAGAAAACAGACAATATGATAGATAGTGAAGATATCTGATTGTCTTGCAATGAAATTTATGTCTCTTACATTGTTTTCTTATATTCTGTTTTGTTCTGTTCTGTTGTGTTCAATTTTACCCTCTTTAAAATAAAAAAAGAATATATAAAGAACTCAAAAAAAAATCAGTCCTCCCATGTGTAAAGACCAAATCCAAAAAATGGGCATCTGAGATGAATACACAATGCTCAGATAAAGAAATACAAACAGAAAATAAATCTATGAAAAAATGTGCATCATCCCTGATCATTTTGAGAGATGCAATAAAACAACACTGGGATTCCACCTCACCCCAGAAAGAATGGTTATTATCAAGAAATCAACAAATAACAATAACAAATGCTAGAGGAAAAAGGAATCCTCTACTGTTGATGGGAGTGTAGACTGGTGCAACCACTGTGGAAATCAGAGTGAAAATTCCTCACAAAACTAAGATTGGAATTCCAATTTGACCCAGATATTCCCCTTCTGGCTATCTTCCCAGAAAAATTAAAAATATCATACCACAGTGGTATATGTACATACACAAAGTTAGTTTAGAGCAGCAAAATTTGGAATAGCTAGATCTTGGAGACAACTTAAATGCCCACTGACTGAGGAATAGATTTTTTTAAAGTGTGGTGTTTTTATACAATGGAATATTATTCAGCCATTAACTTGTAACTTTTATAGGTAAATGGATGCAACTTGAGGCCATACTTATAAATGAAATAAGTCAGACTCACATGTGTAAACATCATATTGCCTCACTAGTGTGAGAAGCAGAAAGCAACAATATATGTACATGTATACAATATGTAATGTATATGCCATCATTACCCCCTAGTTATTGTGTTTTAAAATTTTATTTTTTCTCTTTAAAATAAAATAGATATGGAGAAAAAAAGATTGTTCAGGTTATTCTAGATTCTTTGAATTCCCATATGAAGTTTAGGATTAATTTGTCAATTTCAGCCAAAAAAAAAAAAAAAAGCCAACTGGAATTCTGGTACTGATTAAGCTGAATCTGGAGGTCATTTGCTTAGCATGCATGGAGTTCTGTGTTGAATTCTCAACATCAGAGAGGTTTAGGGGAGGTAGGAGAAAGGGAAAAGGAGAGAGAGACAGAGACAGAGAGAGACAGAGAAAGGAACAGACAGAGAGAGAGAACAATAGAATGAGAGAATGACAGAATGAGTGAAAGAGAAAGAAAAAGAGAATGAGAGTATAAGAATATCTCTTTTGATCCTTTACTCTCAAATTACATACGACCTAATATGTATCTGATTGATCATATCCTCTTCCCTAACACTAAGGGAGGTTATGAAAGTAAATTGTCTGAATTCTCATAGTCAGAAATAAAGTTGCACCCCTTGCCCATCAACACTCATAAAGGGTTTGGATTTCAGGCACCAGAATTAATGAGAAATAACTACTGCAATGATGTCCGGAAAAATAGCAAGAAAAATTGGCCCTGTACCATATTTGGGCTCATATCTGGACACTGATAATGAATTGCCAAACGCAGAAAAGAAGTAGCAAGTTGAATTCAGCAATAAATGAATTAGATTGTACAACATGACCAAGTGGTATTTATCCTGGAAAAGCAATGTGCTTAATACTAGAAAGTCAATGAATGTAATATACCATAGCATTAGAATAAAGATTATAAGTCACACAATTGTGTCAATACACATAAAAGGAGCATTTGAGAAAATCCATCACCACAGTAAACAATTCCTAACTTCAAAACTTTCTACAAAACAATAAAAATAAAAATGGTAAAGTATTGGCATAAGAATAGACATAGATTAATAGAAGTTAATAATCTAGAAATAAATCCATGGGGCTGGGGACTTAGCTCAGCGGCATAAGCACTTGCCTTGCAAGCAGGCAGTCATGAGTTCGATCCCTGGTACTGATAAAAAACAAAAAACGAAAAAAAAAAAAAAAGAAAGAAATCCTCACATTCATTCATTTTTTTCTCCAGAAAGAACAGCTATCATTATGAATTCATAACAAGGAAGCCTGGAAAGGTTATGGGGGACAAGGGACACTTCTACATAGTTGGTGAGAATGTAAACTAGGACTACCACTATGAAAGTCAGTGTGACAGTTTCTTGAAAAACTAAAAACAAAAGTTCACCCAAACTATATTCTTGATTATTTTTCCAAAAGGGTTAAAGACATCATATTACAGTGATACAGGCATACCCAGGATTATAGCAGCATATCTCACAATACCTAAGTTTGTAAATGACCTAGATGTCCATCAACAACTGAATGGATAAAGAATATGTGGTGTATATCCCAGTGTAGTACTATTCAGCTAAAAAGAAGGTAGAATTTGAGCCATTTGTAAGAAAATGGAAACACTTTGAGACTACAATGCTAAGTGAGATCAATCAGACACAGAAGATCAAATATCTCATGGTTTCTCTTATTAGACAAACTCAAAGTATTAACAATTTAAGAGCAAAATAAAAGATAAAAGGAAACAGGCAGGTGGAACTTTTGCAGAAGGGAGGAGGATCCTCAGGATGAAGAGGGGAAGAAGGGAGGGCAGAATAAAAAGGGCTAAGATATATTATATATATGTACCAACTCCCCACTATGAATATATTCATTATGCATTGCAATCATGTTCTAATAAAAAATCAGCAAATTTTTAAAAAGGAAAAAATGCTCACCTGCATGATAAATTGATTTTTGACAGTGCAGTGGGGAAAAGAATAATCTTTTCAGGAAATGACCAGGTATTCACATGCATATGTATAAAATTTATACACATACAAAAATGAATGGATCAAAGACCTTAGTTTATGATCTTACACTATTAAACTCATGGAAGAAAACATAGACATAAGTCTTTGTGACGCCAGCAGTAATTTCTTAATGTAACACCAAAGAACAAGCAATACAAGAAAAAATAGATAAATTGGGCATCATCAAGATTAAGAGAATTTGTGTTTCAAAAGATACCATCAAGAAAGTAAAGACAATCCAGAAAGAGAAAAAAATATTTGCAAAGCATATATCTGGTAAGAGGCATATATAAGAATTATATTATTAAGAATTATAACAAAATAACAAAAGCACTAACAGCCTAATTAAAAATGGACAAATGGACTTTGGGGAGAACATGGCGGAGAGATAACAGCAGCCATGGAGGCTCTCTGAGACTGCCAGCTTAGAATCCAGGAATGGTGCGGTGTGAGGAGTCCTAAACAAGGGGAGATACACCCTGCCGACCCAAGAATGAACTAAGCTGAGAGAAACCAACTGGAAATGCAATCCCAGTGCTGTAACAGGAACAGATAAAATCTCAGTGCGGAAGCTGGAACCCGCGACACTGGAAGTCGCAATTTGAATTTCCTGCCACCACTGCTGTGTTCCATTCGGCACAGCAGGGAGAGAGACACGCAAAAGCTCTGAGAGCAGGAATCTGCAAACGGAGTTGAGAGCAGAACTGGCAGGGAACCCTGCATCAACCTACGGTGAGTGAGAGGAACAGGGACTCCCCTCCACAGATAAGGAGGCTCCAACAGATGACATTCTGGGACTGGGCAGACTAGCTGAAACAGGACACTGCAGTGACTTTAGTCGCATATTCCCCTCTCGAGCGGGATTGGTGGGGAGTGCTTGGCCTGGGAGACGCTGGTGGACTAAGATTCAGTAGGCTAGTCCAAATCAGGTCCCAGCGGCTGGCAGTGCACCCTAGCAGTGAAGCCTTCAGTAGGCTGACCTGGAGGGGCTGACCCAGCATAGGCTGCCCAGGTCTGTATCTCCCTAGTACACTGCAGTGGGTGGGAACACCTAGCTGGGGGATTCAAACAAACTGTACCGACAAAGGAAAAAAAAAAAAAAAACAGCCTCCTATATATACTTGTATGGAAGGAACAAAAAGTGTGGGAAGAGGGAGCAACAAGAAAGGGTCCTCAGTCCCCAATCCTGAGACCACTGATCCAGGAAAGGTAAATGCAAAGGAGAATGAGGACAGAAAACATGCAATATCAGGCACAGCACCAATAGACATAAAGCAGTATCTCCAGAGCCTCATAGATGAGTTCAAAAGTGAAGTATTTAATGAAATAAAGCAAGATACAAGTAGAATAGTTAGAGAAATGCTAAGCACCACCCAAGAAAAAACAGATGGTGGAATGGAAGAACAGAAAAAAAGGGGAGAATTGTTTGATGGAGAAAACGGAGAAAACATAGAATATGTGAAGCATATTCAAAGAGATTACCAGGAAACTAAAAACTCTATTGAAAGCTGGCATAACAGCTTGATAGAAACTAAGGATAGATTATCTGAACTGGAGGACAGATT